TGTCTCTCTCTCTCTCCCTTTGTGTCATATAATAAAATCTTAAAAAAAAATACTAATATGTAATAATGAGGTTTGGCATCTATCAGCATAATGTGCAGAAATGGCAATTCTCTTCCATGGACCTAGAGGTTCTGCAGATGAGATTTATCTCCTTTTTCCTAAGCCCTGCTCATTTTTCAGTGATCTGCTTTTAATTCCGTATTTTTCATTAGGAGAAAAAGACCGTGCAGATGATGTTTAAGCTCGCTAAATTTAACTTGGGGTATGTGGATGAGGTGCACGCTCAGGTGCTGGAGCTGCCGTACGTGGGGCAGGAGCTGAGCATGGTCATCGTCCTTCCGGATGACAACGCCGATCTCGCCTTGGTAAGCCTTGGCCAGTGCGTCTGAGCGTCTGTGGAGACGGCCTGAGCGCATTTCTCTGTGTCCGTCTGTCAGGTAGCACATGAGGAATTTCCAGTTGAGGGTTGTTAGGAGTCCTGGGCGAACAGCATCTCCTGTCTGGAGTGACCTTGTGTTTGCTTTTCTGCTGAGCATGTATCCAGGAGTGGATTTGGTGGTGAGGACCCATTCTCAGGAAGCGAGGCGAGGCTTCCAAAATTATCAGAACACTCTGCTTTACTCTGAAAGAGGGGCTAGTCGAGTCCCAGGAATTATTGAACAAAAAAGTACTAGGCAAGGAGAGTACTTGCCATATTGAGAAACAGTAACATGCGTAGGAATCCGCTGGGTGGCTTGTTAAAAGGCAATTTTTGATTCAGGGGGCGATGGCCTGAGAGTTTGCATTTCTGATGAGATTCCAGGTGATGCAGATGCTGCTGGTCAGGGACCACACTTTGGGTAGCAGGTGTCTCAAGGACAGGTGAAGAATTTTTCTTGGACGGGAGGAGAGGGCCTTCTTCCCATGACAGAAAAGGAACAAAGTTCAGGGTGGGAGAAAGTAAATTTGTAAGGAGGTCAGGACGAGTAGTGGGCTTGTTATCCAGCTGTCTGGGGGTGGGGAACAACTCATTTCTGGCGTCTGGCTGAGTTCAGGCGACTGAGGGTTTAACAGTGGACTCTTGCCAGAGATAGAGTCCAGCTCCAGTACACCTGTGTGCAGGACGCTGAGGGTGGGGCTGCCCGGTGTCCCTGGTTTCTCCGTGGAACCGGAAAGCTATTGGCCTAAGTCAAAGGTGAGCTCTGTCATGGTTACTCAAGAAGAAGATGAGGAGAGTCTGGGAATTCGAGCTAATGTCCACACAGCCGTCGCTGGAGAGGAACATTCGCCTGGGCTCCAGGTGGTGAAGAAAAGAGGGAGAAGCAGTGGAAGCTTCTTCCCTTTTTTCACTGTGGACACACAGACCGAGTGATGGGTCTTGGAGGCTTTGAGGCGAACGCCAGGGCAGGCAGAAGATGAACAAGAATGCCAGAAGCCACAGTGTTGTCGAATTCTCCATTTCTGTGCTCCTCTCCCTGGAAGCCACGTCTTCCTTCCTGTTTGGAGGATCCCTGATTTTCCTGCTCTCGCCCATCAGAGTTCTGAGCCATGCTCTCTTTTTTGTCAAACAGTCTGTGATTCATAGTAATGTGCATCACATGGATACAATCACTTGGTTATGAGAACTTTCCAAACTAAAAAACATTTGAAATGAGTTTGGTACAGATAGTTTAAAAAAAAAAAAAAGCATCTCCCCTCTCTAAGTGTTTTTTAGCTATTTTTCCTCTTATATCCATAAAACAGGGGAAAAGATGAGAATTTGAGGGAAAATGTTGGTGTGGTACAGGAAATCTCTGTAGATTTTCTTGGACAGTGTCACGGAGGGGAGAGGGGCTGAGTGGGCAGGGGAGCACCAGGCTGTTGTCCATTTTAAGATTCGACTCCTCCTTATTTCAGGTGGAAAAAGCCCTAACATACGAGAAGTTCAGAGCCTGGACAAATCCAGAAAAGATGACTAAGGATAAAGTTCAAGTTTTCCTTCCCCGATTGAAGCTGGAGGAGAGTTACGACTTGGAGTCTTTTCTCCGAAGTTTAGGTATGACTGATGCGTTTGAGGAAGCCAAGGCAGACTTTTCTGGAATGTCGGCGAAGAAGAACGTGCCCATGTCCAAGGTGGCGCACAAGTGCTTTGTAGAAGTGAACGAAGAGGGTACGGAGGCGGCGGGGGCCACAGCCGTGGTCAGGAACGCTCGGAGCAGCAGACCCGAACCAAGGTTTTGTGCAGACCACCCTTTCCTTTTCTTCATCACACACCACAACACCAAGAGCATTTTGTTCTGTGGCAGGTTCTGCTCCCCATAAGGAGGTGCACTTGCTGTAAACACTCCTTTTGCTTCTGCCCACCTGCCTTAATGCAGATTCCTGTGACCAAACTGGTGGGATGGTTTGAATGCCCAAATAAAGCGTGTGCTCCTGGGAAGTCTGTGTGAATGTCCTGACCGAATATTCCGCGGCCACTGAGAGACGCATCACACGTGCACAGTTTGGGGCTGAGAAGGCTGTGCTTGTTTGGGGGCTTCGGTCAGCTCCTCTTTCTCATCGACTCTGCTCTCACCTGCCTATCAGAGGACGGCCTGCTCCTCACCGTCTGTTCTCACTGTTTGTGGGCGTCTTGCGGAGCATGTCTGGGATTCACAAACCAGCCCTCCCTACGCGTTCCCATCCTGCAGTGACCTCAGGGCTCTGCCCACTTCCCCTACTGGGTTCCCGGGGAGAGGCTAGAGCCCAACCCCACTGCACACACAGCCAGAGGCGAACACCACGGGGTAAAGCCTGCAGCCACCCAGGCTCATAGCCGAGATGAAGTGTCTCTGCCCCGGCAGGATCACACAGACCGCCCTGCGGGTCCCACGTCTCACACAGGCCCCCAGGAAGACGACTCCTTCACATCCTCTTGCCATAAACCTTCAGGCCTGCGCTAGGAGGCCGAGCTCTGAATGTGCCACGTAGTCCCCTCCATTCCCTTTTCATCGGAAGCTGCCCCCGCCCCCCACCCCGGGACCTTCATGTGAAGCAGCTGTCAGGACAGCGTCCCTCTACTTAACCACATACGCCCACGTGTGGCTCCAGCATGTTGTGCTTACGCACAGCTCTCCCTGCAGTATTTTTTTGCCTCCCTGCAGTATTTTTTTGACTTAAAAAAGGATTTGTATTGTGGTAGCAACTTGGAAACTATTGAAAAGTACTAGAGAACACTGAAGTCACCCACAATTTTGCCACTATGAAATCACTATTTTTTTTTTAAAGATTTTATTTATATGACAGAGAGAGCACAAGCAGGGGGAGAAGCAGGCTCCCCACTGAGCAGGGAGCCCGATGCAGGACTCGATCCCAGGACCCCGAGATCATGACCTGAGCCTAAGGCAGATGCTTAACAACTGAGCCACCCAGGCGCCCCTGAAATCCCTATCAATGATGTATATCCTTCCCAATTCTATGTATGCAAATACAAACACATTTTAGCACAAGTTAATCATAGACTTCTGTAGCTATTTCTACCCTTACTTGCCATAAACTCTCCTCAAGATAGTTATCTATGTCATCAATTTGATGTGTCAAATTGTATGGCTCTCTATATTTTCTATTATTAGATCTACTTTTAGACAATTTAGGTAATTAAAATTACATACTATACTCTTATGAATGTACTAAATATTTGCTCACATCCTGCATATTTTAAAAGAAATACTCCTAATAATTGTACTGTCAAGACAAAAGTTGGGCACATTTTGAGACTTCTTCCAAATTGGTCTCCAGAAAGTTGTCCTGGTTTATAACCTCCCCCCACCAAAATACATGACTATTTACATTACCGCTAACTGCTGCTGGCCATTTTTTTTTTTTTAATGAGTGGTTATTCCTGACTCTGTTTTGGATTCACAGTTCACAGTTACTTGAACCATTCATATTCAAGTTCTTACTTAAAATTCATCAAGCTAGAATATGTTTTCTGTTAGGCCATATTCATTTCAGGGACCCTACTTTCCGAAGAAGGCTTGGCCAAAAGTGAATCCACAGGACTAGAAAGCCTGCATCTTTTAGTTTTAATCTCATATCCACCTCTTACTTAAAAAAAGTCTACACCTTTATTGAGGTATAATTTATACAGAATAAACTTTACATATTTAACATGTACAGTTTGGTAAGTTTTGACACATGCATACCCATGGAACCAAACCAAGGAACCAGTGGGCAGGTACCAGGCCATGGGATGTCGGTCAGACAGCCCTCTGCAGTCTGTACACTGACCATGAGCTAAGGACACCTGTCAACCTTTACTCAGACCTCTTGGCTTCCCAAATAAAGGAGACTGGGGGTCAGGCTGAGATCTCTCTGTCCCCGGAGGGGACCAGAAGCAGTATGTCAAGGTCAGGGTTCAGTGATCTCAAAATCTCTGGGCCGGGGGTAGCTCAGGAGTTCTCTAGTGAAGTAGAAATGTTCTATACAGCTGAAACCTGGCCCAGATGGGGGTCTCAAAACTGCAAAGGTCCTAGGAGGGCCGCCTGCATCCCAGGCCATAACACCCGAGGAACTAATACGAAAGTGATTATGATAACAGGACCCACTTCATAGAGTTGTTGAGAGGACTTAATGGGCACGTAAAGAGGTTGGAACAATGCCTGGTGTAGCAGGACCCAGCATGTAATTGGTTAACTATCATTATTAGACAAGACTCAATTGCATTTTCATGCATTTAAAAAGCAATAGCTAGAAAACGTAGTTAATTTTGAATTAAAAAATATAATGTTCTCAGTAACAATAACTTGAGATAAGCAAGCCTGTTGTGTTGAAAATTAAGAAATGCTATTGAAAGTCATTAAACATGGTCAAAGGAAAGGGAGATATTTCATATCATGAATAGAGAGACCTGGAGTTGAAAAGTCATCAGTTTTCCCTTACCTGTCCTATAGATGTAACGTAATTCCAATCCAAATTCCAGCAATGTTTTCTGTGGAACTTGACAAGTATATTCATTTAAAAATTTATAGGAATAAGCAAAGGGCCAGAAATACCCAGCACACTTCTAAAGAAAAAGATCATGTTGCAGAGTTCTGCTCTACCAGATATTGAAGCTTATTATAAAGTTTTAATAATATAGTGTGGTGTTTTCACAGGGATAGACCAACAGATTAATGGTACCAAAGAGAGCCCAGAAGCGTACTCATTCATATATTAAAATGGGAAATGGGACAGAACTGGCATTAGAGGTCATTAGGGAAATGATAACCTAATACAGTATGCTGAGACAACTTCCTTATAGAAAAGGAAACAGAGTTAATTACTGAGAGATTAAATACCAAAATATGAAAACCAAATTTTATAAGTTTTACAAGAAAATATAGCAGAATATTTTGTGACTTTAGGGAAGGGAAAGATATCTTAATATATAAAAAGCAAAATAAGGCAAACAATTGACAAAATCAGGTACATTAAAATACATGTACTTTAAAATACATTTAAAATACACCATAAAAATTATAAAAATATAAGCTCAAGCCAGGAGATGAGGATTTAACATATTTAACCATTAAAAGATAAATATCCAAAACAAAGTATTTTCATCAAAGAGTCTGTAAGAAAATGGCAAGCCAATGGAAAAATGGGTAAAGACTTGAAGAGCTACTTCACAAAGAAGAAAACAGAAAAGGTCAATAAATATATGAAAAGATGCTCAATATCATTAATGAAAGAAAGCAAATTAAAGTAGAAATAAGAGCTCAGAGGGAAGTACAACCATGGATGAAGGGCGGAGCAATGTTGTTGGTTTTGGAAGATGGAGGAAAAGGGCCTGAGCCAAGGAATGTGAATGGAGAAGCTGAAGAAGGCAGGGAAATGGATTCTGCCCTAGAGTCTCCAGAGAGGAGCATGGCCCCGTGGGCACCCTGATTCTAGTCCACTGAGACCTGCCTTGGACTTCTGACCAGCAGAGCTCTGACATCATGAACTCATGCTTAGAGCTTATAATAATTTGTTACAGCATCGACAAGAAACTAATAAAGTAATTCAGCACAGATGCTTTTCTTCTGCAAATGATAGAAACACATTTCTGTCTAACTTAAGAAAAAAGCAATTTATTATCTCATCTCAAGCTTAAAAAAGTACCTGAGGAATAACTAGGACCGTAGACTCAAGTGTCTTAGGCTCACTCTCCATTTCCAGCTTTGTTGTTTCTCTGAGTGTTAGCTTCCTTCTCTTTCCCCACAGAACTTGAGGTGGATCTCCACCCCTCTACCCATCAACCATTGTCTTGGATTGACCCTTTTATCATTTGGTTATCATAGAACAAACAACAAGGACAAAGGAGCTAGGACGTACTGACATCCTAGCTCCTTGCAAAACTGTACGGATGAATGAAAGGAACTTATAATATGAAGCTTGGAAGAACGTCAGGTGTCTGTTTTCTATCAACCTGCTTTGGCCTTAATTGAGCAGTGATAAGTCTTAGTTCTTGGCTTCCTTCCATCAAAGACAAACACAACTAGAAAAAATTAATTTAAAATAACATTGATCTGGTTATTTAAAAGCATTTGGACCAACAAAATTATCACAAGCAAAGCTCACCTACTCTGTTGGTTTTCTCTTGTTGCCTTGACGGGTTACCCGTGACTCAGAGGCTTGAGCAACGTGATTTGTTGTCTCCCAATTCACAGTTCAGTAGGTCAGTAGACTTGGCTCTGCCCAGTCTTACAAGGTCAAAGTCAGAGCGCCAGCAGGGCTGCCTCCCTCCTTTGAGGCGGCTCTGAGGTAGACTCCATTTCAGGGACATTCAAGTTACTGGCAGCATTGAGCTCTACATGGTTGTAGGTACAAAGTTCCTGTTTCCTTCTTTAGCGGTCACTGGGGTCTTTCTCCTTCTTCCATTTTCCAAGCCAGCGATAGAAGTCCAGTCCATCTTATGCTTTTGTAGGGTAGGAAAACTTGACCTCCACCCATCTTAGGTTTTCACTGAGACTCTTTAACAAAAAGACAGATTAGCAAGAGAAAAACAGCTCACTAATGCATGCATTTGTATATACTATGACCAGATATCCCACTCCTGCTTCGCTACTAGAGAAACGAAATGTTCAAAAGACATGTGAAATAATGCTCATAGCAATATTGTTTCTCATGGCAAGAAAAAACGTTGAAAAAACCCCCTAGGAAAAATGCTGAATTATTAAAATGAATAAATTATGTTGTATTCATACAATGGAATCAGGGTCATCACCTTGCTTAGCTCTGGGGCACTATTCACATTGTTAGCACCTTTCATATAGATTGTAATGTACTGGTGTCTTCCGGAGGTTGTACAAATTTGTATGGAATACCATATATTGGGAAAAATGAATTAATCACAGCTATCAGCATAAAATATAATGCAGAGCAAAAATAAAAGGTGTCAACTGCATTTGCACAAAGTTAAACAGTAAGCAAACTGAT